CCAGAATTCTGTACAGTGGAGACCTGCTAATTAACTGCAGAGACAGCGCCCAGCAAGGCAAAGCAATACGTATTAACAAAATTGACGGGATAAGAGTTCAGTGCAGCCTAATGGAGAACAAAAAGATCAGCAGGGGAGTCATTGGAGGAGTTCCTCTGAAAATTTCTGAAAAAGAGATTCTGGAAAACATAAGCGGTGCAAAAGTAAAAGAAGTAAAACGGTTAAAAACAACAAGAAACGGAGAAAGATCTGACAGTTTATCTGTACTAATTAAATTCGAGGAAGAGCAATTACCAAGCAAAGTATTCATCGGTTACATCAGTTACAATGTCAAAATCTACAATCCACCACCATTGAGATGTTTCAAATGTCAAAAATTCGGACACATTGCAGCAGTTTGTAAAGGGAAACAGAGGTGTGGAAGGTGTGCAGGAGAACATGAATATGGTAAATGTGGAAAAGAAGCTAAAATAAAATGCTGTAATTGTGGTGGAGAACATACTGCTGCTTATCGCGGCTGTGAAGCAAGCAAAAGGTCTGAAGAAATAAAAAAAATGAAATTTGAGCTTGGAATAACTTATGCTGAAGCTGCAAAAAGGATCCCATCTCAGTCAGAAAAACCCAAACCTACAGTTCAACACACGGCAAATTTCAAACCTCTAGAGAAATCTCCAAAAATTGATGAAGACTCACTAATTGTTAAAAAGACAAATTTTGTTCTTTTCATGGTGGAAGTGATTAATTGTACTGCTCAGACGACAAAAAAAACAGAAAAAATCAAAATAATAGTGAAGGCTGCAGAAAAATATCTGGATGTTAAAGATATGAACTGGGAGATGGTTGGAAGCATGATGGAAAGACCAATGGGACCATCAGAAACTGGCAGAGGTACGATGACCTAGAGTAAATTAAAATTATACGGGCAAATGTAATTTAGTATAATTTAGTATTATGTGGGTTTAAGTTACACAGGTTATTTTATTGTATTTTTTTTTTTTTTTTTTTTTTTTTTTTTTTTTTTTTTTTTTTTTTGGGGGGGGTGAATCGTTTCCTGTTTCCTTGCTTTACTCCATATCAGTTGGTGGCGGTAATGCACATTTCACAAGTTTGCCAACCGCCATAAAATCTCATAAGAAGAAGAAGAAGATTCCCGCTCCAGAAGACCCACGGCGCACTCTGCTGGAGACAGAGGGTAATCTCCAGATCCCCACAGAAACTCCAGCCCTAAGGGAAAATAGCAAAAGGCAGAAGGGGATCCTCGGCGCCCTCTGGTGGGCAAGCCTGAGGATCCCAACACTGATATGGTTTCCTGATTATTAGACGGAGGCTTTGGTGATAATCGCTGTTGTTTCTATGTCTTTTCCTGCCACATTATTTCACTGTAAAGATTGATGAAAAATTGAAATATAATAATTTCCATTATTATAGGTGGATGCAGCACTCTGTGAACAGCCACCTTTTTCAGCTATGACCTTGAGTAACCTTACCTGCCTCCTTGTGGAGGATGTCAATAACTGTCTGCTGGACAGCTGTCAAGTTAGCAGGCCTCCGCATGATTGTCTAGCCATGGACATATGATGGCATCAACTTATTATTTTTGCATTAAAAACAACGCCATACTATGCAGACTCTTGAGTTCCCCAGTCATGGGATTATTGAGATATACTTGTATAATCAATTTAATCAGTTACTAGCTACTGAGAACTGGATGTGAAATAAAGTGTTCTGACTGTGTAGTATTCCCAGTATTACTCTCCTCTGGTCACAACTCTTGTTGAAAAGGTTTTTTTTTATCCTTGAGGGAGGGGGAGACATTGCTATTATACACTGATGGAATATTAGAAGTGTTGATATACTGTTTTGCCAAGATAAATAAAATGTTCGCTTAATACTTTTCCATTTCTATTTAATATTGTTAAAGTTTTCTTATCTTGTATTATTTTAGCCCTGTTTCAGACCTCCAAGCCTCTCTATCTCTCTGCCTCAGCATAGTGCCTCCTCCTCAGGCACATCACCAGTCAGACCCCCCTCTCCAAGCTGGACTCTGGTTCACTGCAAAACAATTTTTTAATTCAGCCATTTATAAGTGTCCTGCTGCACCCTTAGCTCCCCTTCAAAATATCTCTCATCTACCTGCATCCTTTTGGACCATTTTCTCCACTCCTCCTGCCCACCTAAAAGGGCCACCGCTGGAGAAACCTGCCAAGGAAAGTGTAGGGAGAAGAAAGGGCTGGCAGGAGCGAGCTCATGGGTCTGCAACATACGGCTCCAGAGCTGTGCTCTTCGGATTATCTACAATTTTTAGGTTCTCTTGGGTTTTGAAGTTTTTTGGGTGGTACTGAGCTTCCTGTCACAGAGAGGATGTTTGCTGGTGGCTAGACCGAACCATGTTGCTGCACAGCTTTCTCACTCAAGCTGACTAGTGTGTACATAAGGAGACAAAGGATCATCTCTCTTCGCTGGATGATTACCCCTGATGACAACCAGTGAACCTCAGTTTGTCTCTGATCTTCATGGAAAAGGTCTTACTTGCATGCAGCAGTTGTCAGTCTTCATCACCTGCCTGCTCTCCAGCACAACGCCTCTTGCAGGTACCAATGTTCTCAGATCTCACTCACATTCTCCTGGACCTCTGGCAGGGACGTGGCTAGACCTATTTTAGGGTGGCTGAAGTCATCCCTTCGTTGGTATTAGCCACCCCATAATTATTTTGCGATTTTTATTGTTATTTTTTTATTTATTGATTTTTTTTCCATATAACCAACAATTATAAACATGGAAAACGCCCAGAGCAGTTAATCTGGAAGCGTTAGTAAACCATTATTCATGACAATAAGAACTAGGATTTCATCTTCATGCACCGTCCAGCTCCGTCAGTGACACGCCTACTGAGACCAAGTCAGTGTCATGCAGACGTCCACTTAATTCTCACACGACATCAGCGATGATCTGGAAACATTAGGGTGCAGAATACATCCTGGTGAGTTAGACCATATTGATTAGCGAGTTTACATTTTCTTCTATTTATGATTCGAAAAAGACAATTATAAGCACTAATACTCGTCTACATCAAGTTAATGAAATTACAGTTACCATTGGTGTTTCAACACAATATTCGTCAATTGATATGTTAGGAAACACGATGTTTTATTGTGGCCAGCGTAGATCATGTATACGGATAATGTGCACAGGAGCAGTGATGGTGCAGCATACGCCGCTAATGTCACAAGCATCTGAGTTAATAATGTTAAGTTAGCTTGACGTAGCGTACGTGCTGTATTTATCAGAACATTTGTAGTCGACGTTACATGTTTTGATCACACCTAGGTCGACGAAGCAGACCAATAAGCCTAAACTGTAATTCCAGTAGGAAATTACTTGAATGAACCAACTCTATGTTTAAAACAATGTGTTTGCTACTAGCATCATTATAATAGTTTTGTCACAGGAGCAGTGATGGGCAGTAGCGCCGCTACATGTAGCGAAGCTATTAGTTTAACTACATTTTCAAGTAGCTTGACCGTAGCGTCGCTGCTTTATTTATCAAGTAACTTTCCTGTAGCGACGTTATTGTTTTGATCAAGTAGCGACGTAGCGTCCACAAACGCTACAAAATCCAGGGCAAAACTAAGAAATGAAACCAGGTTTTCTATTTCTAAACAACAATCAGCCACAAAACTACTGTAAATAGCAGTTTCAGCTGACGCTTTATAAGTGGCGTAGTAGCACAGGCACACTCCGTAGGGTTAAACAAGCGCACCTTTTCCGAGGCTGTCGTTCTATTGGCTGGAAAGGTTGCTAGGCAACGATCCAACTGCAGTCTGAGAGAGCAAAACAAATCCGCAAGCAGAGCGTAACTGAGACCCGTGCAGAGCGGAGATGGAGGCAAGCGAGAGGAAAAAATATCTGTGATAATATAGAAAATATCTGTTTAAATCTGAGAGAAGAAACAAAGATTTTTGAGAGAAGAGAAAATATTTGAGAGAGAGCGCATGTTTTGAGTGTGAGCATTATAAGTTTTGAGTGCAAGAAGATGAAATTCTTTTCTCTAATTGAAGTTATGTGCTCTTGCATTATGGCAGGATAATTCTCCCATATCTATGTGCCACCAGTCTGATAGGGCGACACTGTGTGATATGGTAGTGCTTCCTTGGGTTGACTATAGTTCTAAGTTGTACGTTTCATATACTGTTGATTTTGTGTTTTCATTAATACATTGTACTTAAAAATACTTCCTTTATTTGCATTAAAACTTTGTCAGACTGATGTGAAAAAGTCTCAAGGATATCCTTCTTTGCAATGATGCTATTGCCTATTGCCTACTGTCCATTTATGCAACTTGTATTTTGTGGTTAAACTTTAGATTAAGCAGAAATCTATCAAAGATAATGCTGCATTTATTGTTAAGTTCCTCACATATATGTGTTTCTCTCTGTGCCAGGTGTAGAGAAAGACATGCCAAAGTCCAGGTCACACACACACACCAAGCACACACACAGAAACAGGGTTATTGCAAAGCAGACAGGGGTTCCTGACAGGTTGTGGGTGCAGGGGAGATGGGGAAAGATGAATGGCCAGGTTAAGGGTTTATGAAGATGTTGGGAGTCTGTTGGTTAGACAACTGTCTTCTGTAGAAGGTTTCCATTATGATGAGTGGCGAACCACTTGCCTTCTTCCATTTATGCAGTAATGCATGGCACCTACCATTTACTCTTTGTAATTTAGCACATTTTAACTGGTGTAGTTTAGTTGGTGAAGTAGCATTAGTGAGGGAAGTGTTTCCCAGGTATGTTGCTCTTAAAATAATGAATTTATAGAGAGCGCCTTAGAAAGTGCACTGAAAAAATTTCGGCGCGCGCTACGCGCGCGCAATATCTTACCTAGGGGCTAAGCCACCCATGTCTCTCAAACCTAGTGACGGCCCTGACCTCTGGGCTACAGTCTGCCACTCCGGCTGAATCAAACCCTTACAAATCCATGCTACCTCAACAGTTGGTAAGGAATACACTTTTTATTTAGAAAAGAACAGTCCTTTAACTTTGTAACAAGCACGACATTATGATAAATAAATAACATATTTCACTGATGTTGTAATTTTTCTAATACATTTTCACTTGTTCCGTAATTATCTGTCCTCGCTTGGTGAATGGAGCCTCCAAACTCTCTGTCTGAAAGCTGCCACAGCAAAGAACACGCGTGGTCCTGTGAGTGACGGACAGGGCTTGATCCCACTGGGTCATTTTGTCTTGTAGAGATCTGCTGGCTCTTCTTAAGCTCTGTGGACGGTGAGGATGTCAGAGAGCTGAAGGCTGTGTGATACAGAAGCTGTCCACTGGGACTTGTGGAAGAATGAATTTGTGTCTGGGGACTGCCAAGATTTTGTGAGCCTGTTAGAAAATTCCTTGGAAGATGAGAATGACCACAATTTATTGTAGAACATACTGGATTAGTGTTATCTTTTGAGGGGTTAGATGTATTGTAGACACCTTGTTGGCTCTGGCAGATCACTGGGAAGTTGCTGAAAGCTGAGTTAATGCCAAGGAGGGACGAACCAACAAGGTTTTGAGGATGGGTTGCATAAGGGGAACTGGGGGTGACTCTGGGTGTTTGAAATGGACTATACTGGCTCTGCAGCCTATCAGCTGTTCCATCTCGGTCAGAGCAGCATACATGCAAGGCGGACACAGAGCTTGAAGAATGCAGCAAAGTGGGAGCTCTGCTGTGTGACTGCATTCCACCGCAGTCCCATGCACTTCTATCTGGGTAGCTAATCGTTTCATGACGTAGGTGTAGCTCATTAGATGAATCTAAAGAAACATGAGGCTGCCAGTTGCTGGAACTTGTGGACCCAGGAGGAGAGACATGATGAAGCATGGGCATATTTGACTGCAGGAATTGCATTATGTCATGGAGCTCCTTCACCAGATTGGAGACTTCCTCATTTAAGGTGTTTACCTAAAGAAACAAAGACAATTCAGACATTGAGTAAAAGCTAAACCCTGGTTAAACGATAAACCTGTTTGGTTTAAAAAACACTTTTAAAGTTTTTATCAAGTTTTGTTTTATTTTTTGCTCAACCAATATTCCTATCAACTCTAATCAGCTTTGTGGCCCCTCCTAAAGAACAGCATAATGCTGACAAGAGGTTCTGTTTTGGGGCTGCACGTTGGCACAGTTGGCAGCAAGGTTGACTTTAAGCAAGAAGGGTTGGATTCCTGGTCTAATGCTTTTCTGCAGGTAGTTTGCATGTTCTCCCCCTGTATGAATGAGTGCTCTCCATGTACTCCGGCTTCTTCCCACACTTCAAAAACATCACTCATTAGGTTGACTAGGGACTCTGAATTGAGTGTGCTTGGTTTTATGTCTATGTGTTGCCCTGTGATTGTGATTGGCTGGCGACTTCATGGGGTTGTACGCCAACTTTCACCCTATAGGGCAGATTAGACCTCTGTACCCGCACACATCAAAAGTCGCTTGGGTCTGGTCGCAAACCAGTTTTGCTGCTATGCTTCTGCACCGTCGGTCTGGAATTTCTAGGGACGCACAGCAGTTTCCCACCAAAGTGCAAGGGGGAGCCTAGTTGAGAACTCACAAGAACTTCGGCAGATGGTCACAACAACTTCACTTTGGCAGAGACCTTTCCATTTGTCTGAGGCATCGTACAAGTGGTTGTAGTTCCAAACCTCCTCGATCAACCTTTCGTTGTAGTTGTCCATTGTAGTTGTTCCTCGGTTTTTAAAAATGGTGCGCCCCGGCACCGAATCGAGAAGGACAACCACACAGACAGCCAGAAAGACATACCAAGGACTAATGACAGCTGCTTTTTGTCAGCGCGGGTTTTGCGACCATCCAACGCATAGTCAGGATTTTCTAGACGAAAACGGTTGCAGAACCTCTGCGCGGAGGGCGTGGTCGTGCACAAAGACTGATGTGACGCTTGCAGAGGCTATGTGTCAGAAGCATAAATTGGCCTTAAGACTTCTGAAGATAGGCAGTAGCCGCTGTGACCCTGAAAGATAAGTGGCAGAAGATGGACGGATAGATGGATAGAGGGTTCAGTTCTGGTCAAATCTTACCACACTTTTTTTCAAGAATTTTGTCTGTCATATTAATATCCAAACAGAATTTGCGAAAGTTCTTTTTTCTACATTGTGACAAAATGTAGAGAAGGTTTAAGGGTCAATAATACTTCAGTTGGACACTGTATATTATGTCTTTGAGGCCAAAACAGAGTGGGCAATATATGTTTATATATTTATAGAGGGTGACAAACTACGGGTGAGTTGTTTTTTTTTTTATATCATAGGTAGAAACAGGAATTTCCAAGTCCTTCTTCAAATCAATTGAAAAAAATAAAGTGTTTTACTTAGGAAAGTCATAAGGCGGGAAGATTTAATGAAACCTTCAACAAGTTTGTATAACCTGGACTACATTATAAAATACCTTAGACCATGGTGTTAAATCAATTATCAAATAGCAGCACATACTCAAACATTTCAATTAATTAATAATTAGTTGTTTCTTATAAAGCACTTTAGCTATAAAATTATCCAAATAGACATAATGGGAACAAAACACTAAGCTCCTATAGACAAGAACTTCTAAACCGGAATAATTATATATAAAGGTATAAAGATTGCATTTAGATTCTGATTAAATTTGAGAACAGTACTGCATTTATAGAAGAGAAGAGACAGAGCTTCATGTGTTAGTTTTATTCTCACCTCTTTATTTAATTGGGTCATGTTCCGTTTCATGTCTTCTGTCTCAGCTAGCAGGTTTCCATTCATCTGTAATTCTTCTAAAAAAAGATATAAAGGAAAATGTTTAATAACCTGGGATCATTGCCTTTAAAACCTACAATGCACTTTAATCTGGATGTAACTGGGAGGTTTAAATGTTGGCAGAAATTAAAACAAGAAGTAACATTCATAAAAACTCTCACATCTCATCCTCATGTTACTCTTTTCATTAAACTGCTTTAAACATTTCCTACTATAAATAAAATCTCAGTCAGTGTGTTTTAAAGTTTACCTGACACATTTGTTTGCCTCTTATCCTGCTCTATATTGAAAGGAAATGTGGAGCTGTTGTCTTCGATTCCATCCACAACTCTGCCGAGGAAACAAATGGATGTTACATCATTTCAAAAAGTGCAAAAAGGATGTGTAAAAATAGAGGGAAATAAATTACCTTGGGCTCAGGTTTAAAGGACTAGCACAAGACAAGGAAGGAAGCATTAACTTGGACGGCCAATGACTTAAACCTGATTCTTTTTTGAGGCTGAGAGAATGGGATGGGGAGAACTCGTCAAAGGACTTAGGAGAGACGATGCAGCCTTGGCGTTGAGGAGCAGGTGATCGAAATGGATGGATGTGTTGCAGCTCCTGCCCTAAAGTACTGAGACGGGAACTTTGAACAGGACTGCCAGAACCTTGTAGCAGAGGTGCTCTGCTCCGCCACGAATGTTTGATGTCATCCGCTTGTTCTTCATCATCTGTCTCAATGACGTAGGGTAATTTGTTATCCAAAGAGAGGTGAGCCTGCAGACAGATGGAAACTCAGTAAAATTCACTGCAGTTTTTTTATTATTTATTTCCAATATCTGATTTAGCTTATTAGATAGTTTAAAATTTGATTAAATCCATCATTTGCAAACAGGCTTTTTTGCTATTTTGGTGGTGGTGTCCCAAAAATAGTATTCATACCCATTGTATTTCTTTCTAACACTGTGTTTTACTCAACACTTATTTTACAGATATTTTATTTGAGAGATAATCACAAAGCAGTTAGTAGAAGTAATATGTTACAAATTGTCACCATCAGTGGATAGTTTTTGAGGAGCTAAATGCAGAGCTGAAGAGGCAGAGATGATTTCTTGCAAAAATTAAAGAGGAGGTACAAATACAGAACCGATTGCCAAATACTCAGGAACATGAAACTAGGCGACATTAGGGAGGAATAAACTTAATGAATGAAGAAGAGACGAGAATCCAGTCACTGCAGAGGAGGACTGTGTATGCCAAACAGAACAATGAATGGATTTAATCAACTAACTGGGACAGTCAGTTGATTAAACAGTCAGCAGGTGTGGACAGAAGGAGCTAGAAGGGAGCTAGGGGAAGTGGACTTGCACAAGGGGGCAACAGAGGTTTAACCAGACATAGTGCTCAAATACAACCAGAAGACAACTAGAATGAAACCAAATGGAAATGAAACCAAAAGAGATAATTCAAAGTATAACTGAAAAAAAAATCTTAAACAAAACCACAAATTTAAGAAAAGGCAGAATCATGACACATATATTTATTGTTTCATAAATTTAACAAAAAATTAAAAATCAGAAAAAAATGTTTCAATCAAAATTTTATAGAGCCATTTAACAACATTTTTTAAAATACTTTTGCTTTGCACATCTATAAACAGAGAGTCATGTGGTTACAGGAGGTCTTTGAACAAAGACAGTATGAGAAGGTGGTCAGTATTTTGGACTGCTTTCACCTTCATACCAGTTTAGACCAGTTACACTGCCCTCGTTAGAGAAAAGCATCCCAAACAGGTTGATGTTACAACTCACTGCTTCATTTTAGTGTTGAAGTTTTGTTTTTAGAGAAACCTGTAGGCTAGAAAGCTAAAAGCTTGGTCTCATCTAACACAATACTTTCCCCCATATATTTGTAAACTGCAAAAATAACTGTTTATCTTTCTTTTTTTTTTTTTTTACTTCATATCCTTCTTCCATAAAGTTCATATTTGTAAATTGGTCAGACATATACTTTTCATTTAGACAGATTCTTGCTCTACAGCTGTGGATATCTAACTCTTTGTGCTAAAAAGCGCTAAACGTGAACAGTAATGCTGCATTTGAGCTGAGATATCATTACAACCAGAGAACTCCTGTTTACTAATCAAGTGATATCTCATCATGCAGGATGGGCGTAAAAGGTCTGGATACGGATGCAATACACATGTTTTTAGGTATTCTATCTTAGAAAAATCCTTGAAAAGTAATGAATACTTTTTTCTTCAAAATAAAAATAACGTCTTACTTTTTAGTCTTATTAAGTTTTTTAGTCATTAATTTTTTATATTGTTCCATCAAAGACTAAGGCCTCTGTTTTTTTTTTTTATAGAAGTGCTATATACATGATGCTAAATAAACTTCAATTATTGCGTTTAATTTTAGTGCAGATGTCTGTAAACACTCAAATAAAAGCAATGGAATGTTTCTATGTTTACTAGACCAGTGGAATGATTTGCAAACATATACTTATGTCATGATATTACAATTTAAAGACAGCCTTTACATTATGGAAGAGATAAGCTGTGTTGATGAGCTTATATGTTTATCTTCATGGCAAACATGACCAAACAATGAGAATAAAAAATATCCAAAATACCCAATGTACAATGAGTGCATCTGGGAGCTTCTGTATAATGAAATAATCCCTTTATTGTTTCAGTCCCTGCCCTCTGAAAGGTTTCAAATATCTGTTTTGTACTATGCTTTTTAAATTATTATTATTATTTTTTTTTGCCATAAATAGCATGAGGCTCACTATCTTTTTATTTTACAGTGGAAATACATGACTGCAAAGTAAATTATAGAAGTCCTGCAAACAGAAATTAGATTAGAAAAACAAAAATTACTGTAGACCCACACAAAAACAAAATACTCATTAAAAAGAAAAATGTTGCAAAGAAAAAATGTGTAATTACAGATAAAATAGACATGTCTTGAATACACAAAACCCAAGGCAAATACATAATGATGCAAAAAAAAAAAAAAGAAAGAAAGAAAACATGCAAAGGACAAAATGCTTCAAAAAGAAAATACAAATTTAGTACTGCATATATTAAGACCAGTAGAGGGAGACAATGATCAATTCGTATTGGACCAGAACAAAGGCATTACTACAAATTCCCATTAAAGCATGAGACACTTTGCAAAAACATAAATGGGACGCTGAGATCTGTAAGGAAGAAAGAAAAGGTGAGTTTATCTTTGAATCTTATTATGCTTTTTCTAAGAGTTCAATATGAGTTAGTGATAGTCTTCTTTGAAAGGTGTGGAAGGACTCCATTATGTTTACTTTGCAGCTTTTCTTAGCTTTGGTTAGGAGTAAAATATTTCTTCTTTGCAGGATTAAAATTTTGCATGTTTTTGTGTTAGTCTTATTTTTGTCTTTGCTAGTCCATTTTTTAAAGTTTGCTAATCATAATTTTCTTTTCACAGGACTTTTTAAATTTGCAGTAAAATTACTGTTTTGCACAGCTTCTGCCACCGTACATCATCCATAGAAAGACACACATACCAGAGTTTGCCTCGGAGTCCTTGGAAATCTCTTTACTGCCTATGGATACAATAAAGACAACTCCGTATTAGTGAAATTGTTTTTAAAGCATTATAATACATATAAAGTGCATACTCCCGAGCCACATCATTAGGTACAACTTTTTAGTTGATTGTTAAAATACACAGCTAGTCAGCCAGTTACAAAGAAGCCAATCAAAGCAATTGGGCATGTAGATGTTGTTAGTTGTTAGCACAGACAAGACTTTCTAAGTATTTTAAGAAATGCAACCATCTCATAGGTTTATACTGAATTTTTCATAAGGAGTTTTGTGGACAAACTGTATTGTTAATGTAATAGGATTATTGGAGAGTATACGGATAACCTAGGATCTACCCTCTTTGAAGCTTTGAAACTTGGAACGTTGGACCATATTTGGAAATAATATTAGGAAATGTAACATGATGATGGAAAGTAGGTATTTTATATCCCCTGAAAAGACAGAATTAAGGAGGAGATAAATCAACTCTTTAAATTGTTGAGAACAAATACAAAACTGTGTTCTGTTTTTACATTCACAGTTTTACTCCAATTAATTTACAAAATAGAGCAAAACAAATTCCAACATTTGTATTCAAATCTTCCTACATTTTTTTTGTTTATTATTATTATTATTTTTCCTTAACACAACTACAAATATCATACTGGAGTGGATTAAAAATAATCTTTGATTTATAGTTCACATAGCTGTGCAGCAGAGGGCGCTGTCTTTTCTGTCAATTTCCATCAAACGAATATACATAAAGGGCCCACTGCCATGCTTCCTTCAAAGGAAGCTTCTTTCTGATCCTGCATAGGCAGACTTTCAATCCCTCAAAGGAAACATGGCAGTGAGCCCTATCTGTACTGCAGACAGCAGACTGACCAATCAGGCAGTGACCCTCTGTTCTACAGTTCTATTTCATCCCTACTGACCGCCAGAGGCGGTGCTTCAAGCACTGAATGATCATTCTTGCGCATGCGCAGGTCGAGTATTAATGACAACAAAGTCAGCTGTGACCTGCCGGGGACCCACGTGACTCTATATAGTCACGTGGCACCCGGCAATCAATCCCTTTTGTTCTTCTCGCGCGCAGGTGTGTTGAGTACCGGAGTGTGGTCGTGTGAAGCTGGTTGCTTCTGTGTATACCACTAGTTTCCTGGCTGCTTGTTGCTGGTAGCCCCGTGACCGGGTTTGGTCGGAGCTGCGGGTAAGTCTCGCCCTCCAGGGGCTGCACAAGCTGCTTTCACCTTACCAGATCTGCGGTGACTGGTAAGTTTTCGTTCTTTTCTCAGCAGTAGTTTACTGTTCGCTTTGATTTGCCACGTTAATTTTGTGGCTCTTTTGACTCACGGTAGCGTTTCTGCTCGCGCTGAGTTGTTTTCAGTTTGTTTGCCTAAGCCCACCAGTAGCGTTTCTGCTCGCGTTGGGTTCTTCTATAGTTTGTTTATCTACACTCACCAGTGGCGTTTCTGCTCGCGCTGAGTTGTTTTCAGTTTGTTTGCCTAAGCCCACCAGTAGCGTTTCTGCCCGCGTTGGGTTCTTCTATAGTTTGTTTATCTACACTCACCAGTGGCGTTTCTGCTCGCGCTGAGTTGTTTTCAGTTTGTTTGCCTAAGCCCACCAGTAGCGTTTCTGCTCGCGTTGGGTTCTTCTATAGTTTGTTTGCCTAAACTCACCAGTGGCGTCTCTGCTCGTGCTGAGTTCATCTTTAGTTAATAATCGATTTGCTAGTGGCGTTTCTGCTCACGCTGAGTTTGGAATCTCTGCGGGGGTTTTCCTACAACGAGTCGCCAGTAGCGTTTCCTGCTCGTGTTGACTTGTCCTTGGTAGCAGGCTGATCACGCCTTTCAGCAGTATGATGCTGGATAATTTATGTTGCTCGACCTGTCTGGCTCCACTTCAGCCGGATGACGGGCATGACTTGTGTCCCTCCTGCCTCGGTGTGGAACATCTCCGGGAGGCGCTGTCAGATGACGCTTGCCCCAACTGTCGCGTCATGCCCCGGTCGGTCAGACTGGATCGGTTGGCTGCACTGGAGCAGCCTACCGACTGGGCGAGCGCTTCGCCGCGTGCTCGTTTGCCGATGGAGAAAGCGGTGTGCAAACGATCTACTGTGGCTGCACCTTCGGTACCAACGAAGCGTGCTAGACGGACCGATGCAGGGAGGTTGTCCACCAGAGTGGATCATCTCACTACTGAGCTGGCCCAAATGAAAGCCCTCCTCCAGTCCTTTCAGACTGCTGGTGATCGCGGCACGGCTCTCCCTACCGAGCAGGATGAAACGTCAGTCAATGACGACGATGCTGTTTCTGTGGCGGCCTCTGGCACCCATTTCTGTGAGGACCTTCCGGAGCTGGGCTCCGGGGCCTCTGGGTCGGACTCCATTGCCTCCCAGGAGGATACGGGGGAGTCTGTGACATCCGCTATTCGAACGGCTCTTGCCCGTTTACAGATTAGTGTTCCTCAGGCCCAGCCTGCGGCTTCCAGCGCCTTCTTTAGGCGCAGTAGGTCAGAGACTGCCTTTGTGGTTCCTCCCTCGGCGGAGTATGTGCGGGAACTGCATGCTTGCTGGTCAGACACCAAGGCGTTTTCACGTCTGACGACGGATGGCAGGGTCCTGGCAGCTATGCAGGAGGCACCCAAGGTTGGCTTGGGGCAGATGCCAGCGGTGGAACCGGGCATTGCCTCTCTTATAATCCCGCCTGATGAGGCCTTGCGGCCCAATGCCCGTTGTCCGCGTCCTCAGTGCCGTATTACCGACGACCTTCTCTGTAAGGCCTATGACTCTGGGGCCCGCATGGGCCGGATTGGGAACTCTCTCTCCCATCTTATGCTGGCCCTGTCTTCCTCCTTGGAATCTGTTCCGCTGGATCATGCCACGCAAGGCCTGGTTGATGCATCTCTGCAGGCCTTTGCTCTTATGACGAGGGAACTTGGACGCACACTCTCCACACTGGTTCATGCTCGCCGCCAGGTCTGGTTGGCGCAGTCACCACTAACTGAGCCTTGTAGGAGGACCCTCCGGGCCCTGCCTGTGGTCCCGGGGGAGCTTTTTGGTTCAGCGGCACTGGACGCCTTGGACCGTACGGCTCAGGCCTCTAGAACGAGGCAACAGCTGGCAGGGCTTCACAGACGTGATCGCCAGCCAGTAAGCACCTGGGCAGCTGCGGGTCCTTCACGGAGGTCCTTAGTGCCTTCTCCTTCTCCCACTGAGCCCCAGGGTCTGTTACCAGGTCAGAGATCGGTCCGGGGACCTGCTCTAGATCGGAGGAACAGAGCTCGAGACCAGGCTGGGACGAGGTCCTTTCATCCCTTTCGAGCCGCGCAGTCTGGCCGGCGTCCTCCCGGGCCTTCGAAGGGCCGGGGGACCCGCAGATGATGCCTTAGGGCCGGCGGTCGGTTATTTTTCCCCGGGACAGCTCAGCTTCTGGGCTGCCCACACCCCGGACTTGTGGGTGTTGTCCACCCTGTCCCGGGGGTACCGTCTTCAATTCCGCCGCCGGCCACCTATCCCTGGCCGGGTCAGGATGACTGTGATCCACGACCCGGTGAAGGCACAGGCACTGAACCAAGAAATCTGCACCTTGCTGGCCAAGGGTGCTATAGTGCCTGTGGACCCCCTGCTGGATCCAGGGGGCTTTTATTCCACGTATTTTCTGGTTCCGAAGAAGACCGGGGGCCTGCGTCCAGTCTTGGACCTCAGAGGCCTGAATGTGTACTTGAAGGCCATGCCCTTTCATATGCTGACCACCAAGGAAGTGTTGCAGGCGATTTCCCCGGGCGATTGGTTCACTTCCATAGATCTCAGGGATGCTTATTTTCACGTTCCGATCGCTCCGCCCCATTGGCGGTTTCTTCGTTTTGCTTTTCAAGGGAGGCATTTCCAGTTCAGGGTCCTCCCGTTTGGACTTTCACTGTCCCCCAGGGTGTTCACCCGATGTGTTGCAGCGGCCCTCTCTCCTCTGCAGGCACAGGGATTGAGGATCCTCCCATATCTGGACGACTGGCTCATTTGTGCCGCGACGTGGGACCAGGCGGTTCGAGATACTCGGTTAGTGCTCCATCATGTGGGATGCTTGGGCTTGAAGGTGAACATGGAGAAAAGCAGTCTGACCCCCTCACAGGAGACTGTCTTCCTGGGCATTGCCATGGATTCCATCTCAATGACTGCTTGCCCGTCACCCCAGCGGGTGGACAGTATATTGAGCGTGCTCCCGGAATTCAGGCGCGGCATGGCGCTGCCTCTTGTGCGGTATCTTCGACTCTTGGGCATGCTTACAGCTGCGTCCGCCGTAGTGCCCTTGGGGCTGCTGTCATTGCGGCCCCTCCAGATGTGGTTGAACAGCTTGAATCTGGATCCCACACGGAACACTCATCGTCTCCGAAGACTTCGGGTGGGGCCTCAGTGTCTTCAGTCTCTGTCCCAATGGAGGGTGAGGTTGTTTATGACCACAGGGGTCCCGCTCGGTTCCCTCCCGTGTCGTCGGGAAGTTGTGTTTACAGATGCATCCTCCACGGGCTGGGGTGCAACCTGGCGGGGTCAAATGGCACAGGGGACATGGTCCCAGCGGCAGGGCAGGGAACACATCAATGTCCTGGAGTTACAGGCTGTGCTTCTGGCTCTTCAGAGCTTTCTTCCAGGCTTGCGGGGGAAGCACGTGCTGGTGAGGTCAGACAACACCACAGTGGTCTTTCACATCAACCACCAGGGGGGCACGAGGTCAAGGAAACTGTTGTGCTTGACTCAACGGCTTCTGACCTGGGCAGCTCCACGCATAGCCAGCCTCAGAGCAGCCTACATCCCAGGGCCGGAGAACGTGCCAGCAGATTTTCTATCCCGTCAGAAGCCGCTTCCAGGGGAGTGGAAGCTTCACCAAGAGGTGGTGGAGTGCATCTGGAAGGTCTTTGGCAGGGCGGACGTGGACCTCTTTGCCTCAAGGGACGCATTTCACTGTCCCCTTTGGTTCTCGTTGGACAACAGCAGCCCTCTGGGCCACGATGCTCTGGCACACGACTGGCCCAGGACCCTCCTTTATGCCTTTCCGCCATTCAGCCTACTTTTTCAGACTCTCCTCAGGGTACGTCAGGAGGGGCACAGGGTCCTGCTGGTGGCCCCCTACTGGCCAGCGAGGACTTGGTTTCCTCTACTGTGCGAGCTCAGCTCCGGCTCGCCAATGCGTCTCCCCTCCAGGAGAGACCTTCTTTCCCAGATGGGGGGTCAGATCTTGCACCCCGAACCGGACCGGCTCCAGCTCTGGATTTGGCCCCTGCAAGGCCGGGGTCCACCTTCTCAAGATACACTGGGTCCATAGGGCATACAATGGCTAATGCATGGGCGCCGTCCACGCGAGCTGTCTATGCTAACAAGTGGACGGTCTTTGCGACCTGGTGCCGTGATAGAGGGCAGGACCCGGTGCAGTGCTCAGTTTCTGACATACTGACCTTCCTGCAGGCATTGCTGGATCAAGGACGGTCCCCATCTACCTTAAAGGTGTATGTGGCTGCCATTTCCTGTTGGCATGTTGGGCTGAATGGTTGTTCTGTGGGCCGAGACAAGGATGTTGTACTGTTTTTAAGAGGTGCTCGGCGTTTGCACCCACCCAACCGCCCTGTGGCACCGGCGTGGGACCTTTCTCTTGTGCTTGAGGCTCTTCGGTCCCTCCCATTTGAGCCCCTGGCGTCGGCGGACCTCAAATGGCTCTCACTGAAGACTGCGTTCCTTTTAGCTATGGTTTCCGCAAAACGTGTAGGGGAGTTACAGGCTCTCTCGATAGCCGAACCCTGCTGCCGGTGGAATCCTGATGGCTCAGGCGTTACACTGTGGGCTGATGTAGCATTTATTCCTAAGGTATCACTGCCAGCAGGCAGCACCCAGCCTCTCCATCTTGCCCGGTTTGACTCCGGAAGTCCCTCTGAACCACTGTGTCCTGTCCGTGCCCTTGAGACATACATCAATGCCACGGCATCCTTCCGAAAGACAAATAGCCTTTTTGTTTGCTACGCTGGCTCACGGAAAGGTCAGGCACTTTCTAAGCAGCGACTTGCACACTGGGTTGTGGATTTGATCTCCAAGGCTTATGCCTTGCAGGACCGGCCACTGCCGGCGGGAGTGAAATGCCACTCTACAAGGGGCATGTCGACATCGTTTGCTGCTATGACTGGGGTGCCATTGGATGTTATATGTCGTGCGGCCTCCTGGAAGTCACCTAGTACCTTTACTCGGTTCTACAGGGTGAATGTGGCTGCGCCCCATCCGCTTCAGGGAATCCTCGAGCAGCATGCCTCTACATCACATTAGGTGGGTGGTGTAGTCGTTGTTCCTTGAATGTTGCTGATTCCTCGTGACCTTGTTGATATGAGTCATCCAGTGCTTGAAGCACCGCCTCTGGCGGTCAGTAGGGATGAAATAGAACGAAAGTTACTACCGTAACTACGGTTCTATGAATCCCGGATGACCGCCAGAGTGCTTGGTCCCTCGGAATCTCTGCTTTCGCGAGAAGATTGAGGGATTGATTGCCGGGTGCCACGTGACTATATAGAGTCACGTGGGTCCCCGGCAGGTCACAGCTGACTTTGTTGTCATTAATACTCGACCTGCGCATGCGCAAGAATGATCATTCAGTGCTTGAAGCACCGCCTCTGGCGGTCATCCGGGATTCATAGAACCGTAGTTACGGTAGTAACTTTCGCTATGTGATGTACCCACAAGTCACAGATTTGAGCATATATATTCACTGACTTGCTGTTGTATTAAAGAAAAAAAAAGATTTAAAAACTGGGAGGATTTTATTACGTATTTAAATTTGTTTCCCTTAAATTTTTTTTTAGATCAACTGGAGCAAAACAGAATGCAACAGATTTTTTTTAGATGTGACTCGCATGGCACAATTAGTATCATTGCAATCAAGAATTTGAAAATATGTAATTGTGAAAAGATAAAAAATCGACAATTACAAAACTCGGAAGTTATAATGCAAAAATAGTTTGGTTTTTGAAAAGAGTTAAGAATTTAAGTGGTTTTAGATTTGTGACTTGAGAAACACAGTTTGTATACTTGTACTCAACAATTTGAGGAGGTGTAATTTTGTTTTTTTTTATTGCAAAACTTAGAATAAAGACCTACAGGTAGAAGATGTCTATTGTGTACCTCTCTGCAACTTTAAATGTACAGTTATAAAGTTACAGAGCACAGATACTCATGATTCAACATGACCCTCATAGACCTTTTCACTGCTTATCTATACTCAGTGGACACAGACTTAGAAAACAGAAAACTCATATTTGTAAGTCTGGCAAAAGATTGTTTATGGTTTGCTTATTTAATCAATGTTAATCAAAAGTTTAGAATGACTGAAACAATCAAATGTGTTTTTAGGATACGACCATTCACCAAAGATTCAAGAAAATCAACTTTATATTGGTTTCTGAGATTCTCTGAGTCTTAAAGCTTATGTTCATTTGGTGATCAAAACAATTAGATAAAGGTTTTTCTAAATAACTGAGAAGCTTAATGATCTTCAGTTAAATTCTTTTTTCGTCTTTAGATACTTTTAAAAATACTAAAGAAAAAAACAAAAAAAGGATATTTTTTGTACAAACTTCCTTGTTTGATTTATATCAATTTACAGCAATTTTTTTAAATTACTGAAACACCACATTGGTATTTTTGGTCTCTATCAATTTTTCTTATAAAAAGTATATTGTGTATATTTTCTTTAAAGAGGGGAGATAGAGGGATATTTTACCTTCTTCATTCCCTCTTTGAAGGAAATAAAAGCCATGCCTCCTATGCAGTGCAGCAGTGTTGCTGCCCACCGAATGACAGCTCCCTCCACATGTGTATTTGTTATTATGCGCTGTAGGATCAGCATTTAATTTTTCAGCACTGGAGGCCAGGAAAGGGACGAGAGTAAAAGCTATAGCTGAGCTGCTCTCTGGTTCAGAGTATAGTGGTATGAACACCGTAGCAGCTCCACAGAATCTGTCACACTGAGTGCCGACAGGGACATGAAGGCTGATATGGAGGAGGGACCCCTGATTGAACTTCGCCTGGGGCCCTAAAGCTAAATTGCAAAGTCCACTTTTCACATCATTGACATTGTTCTAGTACTGAATTTCCCACCAATCGGCTCCAGAACTGCTGTTTTTCTTTTTGTCAGATGTTCAACAAAGTGCACCTTATGAAGTAGCCAGGGATATTATTCCTTATGTTCAGTAAAATAATCTCTTAGATGAATTATGCAGTTCCACAAAACCTTTTGTCTTACATGAGGCTCACTGCCCTCTCTCAGGTTGTAGGTAAGGTTGTGGTGGATGTCAGAGCTGAAGCGACTGCCGTACTCTGGATACAACCTGAGGACCTCCCTCAAAGCCTTAACACTGATGTACTGCAAGTCACAGTAGGTAAGAGCCTTCACATCTGCATTTGTCTTGATCACCTGATCATGCTCTGGCAGGTCAGCCCCTATCAGGTCACCTTTTCCTGTAATGATGGTTAGATGGAGGAGTTGCAAAAAGATGCTAGAATAAACAGAAAACTGAAACATTTCAGGCTTTTTTCACACTCACCCAGAATAGCTTGGACCATACCATCTTTCAAGACTTCAAGAGAACCGGAACAAACAAAATAATTGGCGTGCAGGGCATCTCCATGGCGGATGAGGTACTCCCCCGGTGCACAGAAGGAAGTCTTGATGTGCAGGGAGAGAGAGCGCAGACACCCTCTGCTGGCTCTCTCAAACACAGGCAGCTGCAGGATGTCTTTATTCAGATGCATGGCAATATCTGCTCGCAGTTCATCTGGGAAGTCATGCAACAGCTAAGAGCAAATGAGGAAGAAAACGGCTTTTGTTACTAATAAATAATCATTTTATTGTACAAATTCAGAAATAAATGACCTTCCTATGTACTTAGTGGAAAAAATGCTTTGATCTTAGCTCTCAACATAATGTAACCCAAAGATACATGAGCAAAATAAAGAGATAAACAAAAATGTTTGGTAAAAATGGCAGTTTTACTATTTCCCAGCCTTTAAATAAATTATTTTAAAAGTGTAAAAATGTTTTGATTGCTTTCATTTTTTACTTTTTCTAATACAGTACATGACAAAATATTATTACAATAAAAATGCTATTCTGATGAGGAAAATCAAACAAGAGAATTGCATAGTTTCTTTAAATTATCTTTGTATGTGAATGACTGAATGTAGTTTGGTCAAGTCTCCTGACTTGAAAAAGCACTATATAAGTACAGACCATTTACCATTTATTTAATATTTAGAACTATTCTTGATGTCTATAATCGTACGATATATGTCACTGATCAATCTAAGGTAATAATGAAGATGATGATGATATTTTGACAATGTAAGCTAATGTTGCATGTTTGTTCAGCTTCTATTCAACTGTGGTGCACATGGCTTTGTTCATAGGAGGAGGCTCTAATTCTCCAGAGCTTCTGTCCTTCAACTGTTAGATGCATTTCTGCTCCAATACACCAAAATGAAGTAGCTAAATTTCCCCCTTAATGTGTCAGGTAGTTGTAACTATCTGCCCTTTTAAAGCACAGTAGATTCCAGTTCAGTTGGATAGAAGTTTGGATAGTGGTGCAAATTTTGCTAATATAACATCTATAAAATAGAATAGTTAGCCGTTCCTGCTATTCAGACAGTTATGTACAGGTTCAAATATGTTTTAAAATTAATTAGTTCCTATTAGGTGATGCGATTTAATATATTTATTTAGATATTTTACTTGCATTCTATGATTTTAATGTTAAGTTAAATTTTGTTTATGATTTTACATCATTAATCGATTGCTTAACAGAAATAATATAGTTTTAAAAAAGGAGCAAAGAGCTGAGTTCTATTTTTTCACATCTTTACTTGCTGTTTTTTCTGTTCAGCAAAACTCCATTCAAATTAATATATTCTGTAAGTATGAGCAATTTAAACTCCTTAAAGCCAACTGACCTGCAGGAATATGTTAATCTACGTTCCTAAGAATAGAAACCCTGTCAATCTGGCAGTTTCTCATATTATAATTAAGATGCTTTATGCCATAGGAGCAGTATAACAGAATCTTAAAAGCCTTTAATGTAATTTCTGCCAACATTTATAGCTTTAGTTTGAATATATTTTTTTATGTTTGACATTGCAACAAGCCAGATTGTTCTTTTAAAGGTTGCTGCACTATCATGATGTATCATGTGAGAAAACACATCCTTTTAGAAATAGCATCTTCACAGAAACCAGTGGCTGTGTCTATCTGTGTTTATCGCTTTCAACTAGGAATTAATTATCCAAAGAGATTATGATGGGGCTGTTAATGAGTATTCTCTCCTTCTCAGCTCTGGGAACTTCTCCAAAGTAGATTCTGTCATTGAAATTCTGTTTGCTGCAAAGTGACATCTACTCGAGGAAATGGAAAAAGACTATAGAGTATAAAGTGTTCCAGGTTTAATAGGATTGTATGGCGGAAAGGAGAAGCACCAACAGATTATTTATTATTTTGTTTTCTTTTATTTATACTGATGAAGATTCTCAGTCATACAGGTCATAGTCATTCCGTAAAAGTTTAAAAAACAATCCACTGGACTTGGTTTCCAAGATTTGAAGACGTTTCGCTTCCCCTCCAGGAATTGAGAAAGCTTCCTGGAGGGGAAGTGAAACATCTTCAAATCTTGGAAACCAAGTCCACGGGGATTATTTTTTTAACTTTTAAGGATTTTTTTTATTTATAATGCTCAAATGTAAAAACTTCATTTGCTTTTCAATTACAAAATAGATTAAAGACATTCTATGAAAAAGAAATACCCACCAGAGCCAATTTTCATGCACACTATTGAATACTTTGATTAAAAGTTTTTTCACACTAACCTCATTTGCGTTTATGCCGTTGTTGACCGACCAGGTAGCTTGAAAGTACTCCAGCATCCTCTGCTTTAGCTGCTGAGGGAGTCGATGCACGCGGTTAAAGTCTTTGAGATCCTTCATGCGAGTGTGGTAGAGTGAACGCCGTGAGTACATGCGCTGGATAATAGCTGTTACATTGCCAAAGACCACTGCATGCATCAGGGCTGATGGGGAGGGAAGCACAGTAAAAAGTGATCTTAGAGAGTTCAGTCAATTTGGAACATTTCAGTCCATGCTTTAAACTCACCTCCAATCAGCATAATACAGATGGAGAAGATTTTCTCTGCATCTGTGTTTGCACAAACGTTGCCAAAACCTACGCTGGTAAGGCTACTGAGGGTGAAATAAAGGGAGGCGACGTAGGCGCTGGGAATGGAGGGTCCACCAATGGTGCTGTTGATGTATGGTGTCTCCAGACGCTTTCCCAACTCCTGAAGCCATCCTGATATTATGGACACAAATAACAAGTGTTGTATAAAGTACTGAAATCTCAGAGTCAAGTAAAAGTATAAGTACCTCTCCAAAATACGACTCTGGTTAAAGTCCATGTCAGGGACTGAAATGTTACTTGACTAAAAGTCTTAAAGTATCTGAAATGGATTGTACTTAAGTATGAGAATTACTGTAAAAATAGATGTACTCAACTAATGTAGTAAAAAGTAAGCGCAGTTGGAATGACATTTTTGGTGAACTTTGAAGGTTAAATTCACTTAAAATAATATACACAACCAAGTGTAGGATATATTTAGACTGGCTTTGCGAAAAAGATGTATCCTATTGGTGTTGATGAACAAGCCCAGGCAAGACCCGACTTTGTAGTCAGTAGTAGTAGTCAAAAAATATCCACTGCACTTGGTTTCCAAGATTTGAAGACGTTTCGCCACCTCTCCAGGAAGCTTTCCCAATTCAAATGTCTGGATCCACAGTGAGTTCGAGTCTTATATAGACAAAGCCTTGTATCGCTTGGAAACATGCAAATGGTAACCGATGAGTGGGTTCTTTGGTTCCATCGTTAGCCTGTTATATCTGAAACCTGTCTATGATTGTGAGGGTCAGTCGTTAAAGGGGGGGGGGGATTGCCGTTAAGGGGGGGATTGTCTCCTGTAATACCTGAAACCTGTCTATGATTGTTAAGAGTCGGTCGTTAAGGAGGTGTTGTTCACTGGCTGGAGCGAATTTTTACGGGTTGGTGAAGGGATATTTCTGTTATGGTAAGTGATAAAATTGGTCGTGCAATTGGAGGGAAAAGCATTGCTTGGGAGATGCTATAACAAATGTTTGACCTAGACTTTCCCTTTGTTAAGAGAGAGGTATTGAGTCATTCAACCTTCATTTAAGATGTAGAGTCAGGAAATGAACTAGAAGTAGCTGCTGAACTCACCTATATCCCAGGTAACAGGATCACTGCTTTCTATCTCCTTACGTCCAATGACATACCAGATGCAGGCCATCCAGTGGGCCAGCAGGGCAAACACAGACATGAGCAATGTGAGGACCACCGCGCTGTACTGGGAGTAGCGGTCTAGTTTCTGCAAAAGGCGCAGCAAGCGCAGCAGACGAACCGTCTTCAGAAGGTGCACCAGTGACGTCTGGTTAAGATTGTAAAAGCAGAAAACATTCAACTTTTTAGGATTAGATTTGGCATAATTCTACTGTTACTTTTTGAGTAAACAAAAGTTTTTTGTTTGTTAGCAGCAGGTAAATAGCAATAAGCATTTATATTGCATGGAAATGATGAATTCACAGAAAAAAGGGTGAATATGTGGCAAACAAACTTGTAGTAAAGGTCTCTAAAGCCTACAAATGACTAAATATTAACTTTAGTGTTTGGCAATGATTCCAGAAAAATGCATTATTGCTGATCTCAATATGATGAGTTTTCAAATATGCACATGGATTTTATCTTGGTCAGTTTATTTGCTTTTAATTAACAGTCCAGGTAGGTTTTACATAAAACAAAGGCAGTAAATGATAATTGTAAAAAAAAAAAAAAAAAAAAGCATATGATTATTGATACGTATGTAAGGTAGAGGATCTATGATGTTGGGGACCTGATTCGCTTTCAAAGGCCCTGAGCTTCTTTTTAGAGCATCAGGCTTCAGGTGCGCTCCGAAAATTTTGGCTTTTCATAAAATCCACTCACAGTACAGTTAAGGTAAGAATGGCTCAACGTTTGACCTTCAAAGAGAGTAAGGATCCAAACATGGGGTTTCATCAGCAAATACATTTTTTCATAAACAAATTAACTTTCTTCCATCTCAGTTCCCTAAATTTGAATTCTTAAAACCTTTGCGGTGAGCCAAAGGGATGGGTTAATTAAGGAGGACTCTAGACTCAAGATGATCTAGGAAAAGTGTGCAAAAAACAGTGAAAGACCCATTACTCTGTATCCTCCAACAATAAAAACAAAACAAAACAGTAATGCTTAAAAATGAAACATAATACTCAAATCTTTGACTTTAACTTTTTAGTGTGAGATTTTGTTCCTGAAATAAATTATTAATATATCATAATGCTTGACAGTTATGCCTAAGGAGAAAGTCTCTTTAATGTATTGAACAAAGTAAAGTTAAATTATAATGATTACAACGATAATCTTACCACTGAGATGTTAAAAGCATAGAGAAGGTCAAATGGCAAAGCTGCAATCAGATCCACAAAGAACCAGGTAGTAAAGTAATGCAGGTAGATGGATCGTGCATCATACACCACCTGACCCGACTGGCTCACGTATGTGGTGCGAAAATTCAGGATAATATCTGCAAAATTACACAAAACATTTGATGAAACCAAGAGATTCTGTGCCAAAGACTTAAGACTTGCTCTGCGCTGAATTTAGCCCACCGACTTGCATGTGAGGGAAATGAATATGATAATGGGTGAGCTAAATTTGTATGACCGTCTCTTTACTGACAAACCTGTGGAGAGGTTGTGTTACAGATGTGTTATGGCACTTTTGCTGGAAGAGAACTGGGACAAAGTGAGAGGAATCTAATTATGATATATAACCTAGGGCAACGCTGAAACTCTGAGTGGGTGAGAAATGGTGGGAGGTAGTCACGTGTAAGACATCACCATGGAAACAGCTGTAATTTAAACTTAGTGCTCTTGTCTTTCTATAATGTTGCTTAGGATGTTTGAATATAAAGATCAATAGATTTGTAAACTTCTAATATTTGCCCCACGGTTTACTTTAAGCAAATACACAGAAACAACACCTGCTATGAAGAGCATCTCCACCACTATGTCGCTCCAGGTGGTGCTGCGAGTGACAAGTGAGAGATGATCTCCACCCTCATTGTGACTGACAAAGCAGACGTTGAAAGGAACAGTGACGGCGACGTAGAAAGTCGCCAGCAGAATCAGCCAATCCCACATGGCCTTGAAGATGCTGTAATGCAGCAGGATGAAACGCGACTTCTTCACAGAGGCCACCTTGTACTCAGGCAGGGAGGGCTTCTCAAACATACTCTGAAAAAAAAAAAAAAACGCAAGACTTTAAACTCCAACTTCTAACGACCTCAACGATATCCAGCCTAATAAAGGTAATCTTATACAGACGTTTAATCTTAAACAGACTCTTAAGGAACAATCTAGAAAGAAAAACTAGTAAGGATTGCATTTATGTTTTTAGCCTGTGGTTTTTCTCCATCATGTAGAAGATCCACTCACATTGCTCAATTTTCCATTGCCTCTTTTTGTAAACGCGTTATTCAGGCGGTGAAGCACAGTCCTACCCCTTTCTTGAGCTCGAATAAAGTATGATCGGCTGTTTTTTCTGTGTTCTTTAGTGGCCTCTGAAAAGTCACATAAAAACCCAGAATGGTTAATTTCACATAGCTAAAACCAATAGAATACAATGTTTTTCCAGAATCAAGTTTTAAAGATGTCTTAGAGTCATTCAGCAAAGAGAAACTTCAAAAGTAAGCAGCAAGGACTTACCATCTTCATGGATGTAGGGACGGCTTTTCCCATACGATTCACTGACATCTTTAAAGGACAGCAGAAACAGCACAACTTCCCCCTTCTCGTTTTTAATTGGGACAATATCCAGGAGACACCAAAACTGATTTCCTGTGAGTACCAAAATAGAACACAGAGCTATTAATTAAAGAAAGTTATTAGTCTAAAATGACCTCTTGATGCCTAAATAAAAGTAGGACCTACCCTGACATAGACTAAAACAAAAGGAAATTTAGCTTTCATCATATTTAGTTTCTTTGATGATTTAGTTTGAGAATTGATGTGTAGGAATAACTCAACCTGTTTATTTTAAACACTCCTCACCATTTTTTCTGTAAAAGCAGACCTCTCCTTGATACTCCTGCTGCCCCTCCAGAGCTTTGTGCACCTGATCCATCACACTATCACTGGTCTCAGCGCCGTGGAGGAAGCTGCAGGTGCACGTTTTCTGCATCACCTCAGTCCTAACAAAGCCGGTCAACTCACAAAATCCGTCAGAGCAGTAGACGATGCGGTAATCATGGCAACCCTGAGCATTTCCCAGAAGAAAATTACTGTCTGTGAGTGAGTAAAGAAATACAAACAGAGGTGGTTACAGCTTGAAAAGTACACCGAACATGAACACAGCTCAAACAACATTTGTTTTTTGGTTGTTGGTGTTGGCTTTTTTTATTTACTTCTTATAAAATTCAAATCCCAGAACAAATTTCAGGAATCTCCTTATTCTCCTTTCCTCTCATGATCCGCTGGTTTCAGTTCCTATTTGTTTTTGTACTCTAATAACATTTGGCTCATGCTTTACGGTATATAGTTAGTTTCACTGTGTTGTTTGTTATTCAGACGATCAGATGATTTTTAATCATCAGCAGAAGGTCTTTAGTAAGAGGCTTCTCCAGATGTGGTGCAAGATATTCTTCCTACCTAAAGATATCAGCACCTATAACAGCTGGTTAAAAAATAAACAACTAATGAGTTACTGCAACATTTCCTTTTCCTTTGGGATTCATAAACTATTTTTAAATTACAGTGAATTGAATTGAATTACTGTTGTTTAGTTCTTTCCATAAAGACCTAAACAACTAATTCCTTTTTATTTCTTTTCTTCTGTTTACTATTATGTTCTCACTACATTTTGGTTGGTTCCTTTTTGTCAGTATATAAGTTTTTTCAGGCCTTTTTTGTGCTTTAGTTAGTCATATTCTCTCTCCGTATTTCGCACATTTCCATAGCAGTTTTGCATCCTCCTGATTAGGCTAACCTGTTTCATTGCTTCTCTCTAGACTTTACTCATTATCTAAGCTTCTTGGTGTGCACAGATCAATGCAAGTGTCTCTCTGAGTTTCCCTAGTCCGAGACTTTGATTCTCCTGGTGTCTTTTTTTTCGTGCAAGTCTGCTTTCATTATTCATTTCTTTTTAACACTGCAGGTCTGCCTATATCTTAAAAAAGTTCTCCATGTTCTGTATTTGATTGTGAATCGATCCTAGCCAAAGTTCTACTGAAGGGACACTGTTTTGATCTGCCAGGTTTTTTAACTTTTTGTCATTAGTACAGCCTTTTTTACATATATAATTTGGGTGTGTCTTTTGACTACTGAAGGGCAAAAAAAAAAAAAAAAATCCAAATTCTTCTTTAGCTTTCAAGCATATGATTTAAGGTTGGGTTAACCCATTATAGCGCACTCAATGAAATCCTTTAAAAATCCACATTTCAAGCAAATAGTGTTATTGGAATCCGGGACAAGACCTTATAACCTTTGTAACAATTTGATGGCAGAAATGAATTTCAACTTGACCAAATATATGGAGAAAAATAACAAAAATAAGTGCTTCTATAAGAAATTCTTTTTTTTGTTTTTTTGTTGATACAACATAACCTTAGAGGCATTAATGCTGACCTGCACTTACATTTTTTAGTTTATAAACCAAAATATAATTGTTAACTAGGCTTATTAACTTTTTAACTTTCTTTTTTTTACTTTTCAATTAGCTTTTTGCCTTTTTTAACTTTGTAATTAGTCCTTTACCTTTTTTTTCTTGACTTTTTAATTAACTTTTTACCTTTTTTGTTGACTTATTAAATTTTTACCTTTTTTTCAACTTAATTTGGTAGGTAATATATCATTCAAGTGTTCATCTAATTGGTCAAATGCCAAAATAAGATGTACAGCCATCTTTGCTGAATGGCTGGATATAGATCTTGTGCTTCTAGACCTCACTGAGGGACGGAGGGGACTCAATTTGTAGAGGTATGCAAGTGATCAGAAATGGTAACTTGCCTATAAAGGGTTAAAGCTTTTATTAGAAGAAACTGATAATTTCATGGACCTTGACCAAAAGGTAAAATCCAGAAACAGAAAACATCCACTGCCTTATTTGATTCTGGCTGTTGCATTCTTTTACTGATGCACAGCAATCAGTTAATGCCTCTGTTACTTTCTCAGGTTATGTTCCACCAGACCACAACATCTTCTCCAGCCCGGTTTTTAAACATTTGACTTTGCTCATGGTTTATTTATTTGGTAACCCTCATTAAAAAAAACATATGAATACAGGAGATAATTGTGATGTGTAGAACAAATTTATTATATAACTGCAATTCATAAAGTTCCTATAGTGTAGATGTGTACAGTCTCCTCTTACATGTTTCTGTCTCTTCTTTTCCTCAATTTTGGTAAAACATCCAGCTTTTGTAATGCCACTACTGTGCCTCACCTTATTTATTTTGTTCCAAGACAGTCATAAATGATCGCTTTGTGCTTTTGATGGATCCCCTTCCACAATAAAATTCTAAAATATATTGCTTTCATGAAGGTCACTGATGCAAAGTGTAAAATCAAGATTGTTTCTCGTTGATTAAATTTGTCTCTCAAACAGTAGCAGTCGGCATCTAAAGTGGAACAAGTTTTCTAATGATTCCACTTGGGTATTTTATTTATTTTTCTTAACATCACAAAAACTTGCTTTTTCAAAAATATGTACAGTTTAGTTCATCTGTAGCCCTGTTAAAAGGAGAGCTACTTACTCTACAGAACCAGACTGATGTTTATGAGACTGATGGATTTATGAACATTATTATATTTTAATGTAATTTTGATTAAATTGCAGGATCCTGTCTGAATGATCTTCAGACTAAGTTTCATGTTCACTGCTCTCTAAACCTCACATCAATTAAATCTTTTCTCAATAATATGTGTAAAAACACAAGTATAAAACTCATTGTCTAAAATGTTTGTATAGTTTCATTATATAAGCTACAGAGGAATATATGAGAAGCATTAGTGGTGAAATAATTGTTAGAAATAATCTCATGTCCTCATATTAATAAAGCAAACTTACAGGCATGTGTTTCCCTTCTGTTTCCCTCTAAACAATGGATAAGGTTTCCTTTTACAGCCACTAATTAACTGCTGCTTTGAATATGAACAAACAGCATTTCAAAAAGTTCTCTGTTTGATATGGCAAACATTTCAACAATAAAGTCGCTTCAAGGACGGCTTAGAGCACCTGCTGGCTGAATGTGAGAGGAGCTTTATATTCTCCCTGCTGAAAACAAAGTAAACATGAAGAACAATTTATTCATCATTAAGAGGAACGACTTTATGGATTCATATAAGAAGTAAAAGGTAAAATATCTCCAGTCTGTTACATAATTGCCTACAACATACTTATTGGCTCTTTCTGTGCTATAGAGCTTAATTATTGTAAAACTGCAGCATAACATATGTTTTCCTTCTTTTTTTAATTCTCAGTGATCCCCATGGCAACACTTAACTAGAAGGATCTTTTTTTAGCTTTCTGACTTTATCTCCACATACTTTAGTAGAAAACATCCAGACATCTAGCTGCGAACATCAGTCCAATATATTTGAATGTAGAAATGAACCTTGACCAATGCTATGTTATTAGTACCAGGGATCATTTTACATATTTTGCTTAAAAGGTCTTAATTGATAAAAAAAAAAAAAAAATCTGTTACAGTTAGAGATTTTACAACTCATTTGTTTTATTTTTCACAATCAAAAGTGTAACATAAAAACATCTTGTCCAATCAAATTCTAATTTAAATCCCAATCCCCTATTATTTGTGATGATAAATTAGCAATACACCATGCATGTTAACCCCAGGAACAAGCCCTTGCAAATGAGCAGCAAATGAGCAGCTAACGCACCAGGGAGCATTATTACAGATCCTTCCTCCCTGCAGCTGTAAGACTTTATAACCATCCCTGTTCCCAACAACCTTAATAAGTTGTTAAATTCATGCTGATTTTGCACAGTTTCTATCTTAGTCAGTTAAATAACATGCTGCTGTCATTTTGCACATCTCTGATGTTGCTGCTGTTTTCAAATACCCATTACTGTAAATATTTCCATAGTTTCATATTGGTTATTTATTCTCCAGGTGCACAGTTTCTATATTGTTAAACACTTTACAGTACAGTATTTTATTGTTTATCATTTTTCTAAGGTCCACATTTGTGTGACATTTTTTTCTATAATATTTTTGCTGCTGTAAACACCAGAATTTTCCCAATGTGGGACAATAAATGGATACTCTATTCTATTCTATTCTATTCTAAATCTTTGCACTGAAGCCTAAGGTCTGGAATCGACTTGTAAAAAGGCTGTAATACAAAATCATGACAGGGAAAAAGGCAATTAAGAGAAGATATCAGTTAAAAAAAGAGGTAAAAAGTTTATCTAAACATCAGTTCTGTCTTCAGGGGTCGGCTGTTCTCTATATGTTGAGGTGGTGGGTGATAAGATGAATAATTTAGGGGATTTTCCAGTTTTCAAAAAGGTTGACTGAGCAAGACCTCAGTTGATATCTGATAAGCTCTCTACTCTACTGCATAATTCATTTTAATCAATCTCCCTGGTTTCATAGCAGGATCATGTGGATAACATCTCTGTTCACGTTCTCTATGTGTTTTAAACGTCGGTGCTCACATTTCATAGAGATGTTTAAAACAATTATCAGTCATTCGGTCTTCATAGACTGTGCCAATCAGTGGTTGAACCTATTCATGCTAAACTTTATGTGACTAGATGTAGATTATGTTAATGTTAGTGAATGTTGGATTTGGTTTAATTAGTCTAAAACAAACCAAGAAATAATCAAAGAGTTATCCAACTAAGAAAGCTTCTGTTTTGACAATTCTGTCAAAATTGGGTTGTTTTATTAAGATTTAAATGAACAAAATATATTTTTCTACGGCATACATACATCCATACATCCCTGTTTTCTGTCAGAACATTAGTTATCCCTGCAATATAAAATGGAGAATAATAATCTACCTGTTTATTCTCAACCTGAACAACTAAGATCACATTTTAATTGATAACTTAATTAATTAAATCATAATTAAATCATTGAAACAAAGATTTTTTTTACATATTTTAGATGCCTTAATACATGTTTCCCAACAATAATTCAACATGTTTTTAAAGTCAGTGTGCCTTTTTGGCTCTCATAATCCTAAAATAACAAAGCAAGATGAAATTGTTGTCAGAATATGAAATGTAAATGTTTTAATAAATTCTAAGTTATAAAAAAACACCCAAAAATAATAAAAGACCAACATTAGATATTCCCACCCTTTAGAGGACTGAGATTTTTTTTGGGTTACACAAACCTAATTTGCATAAGATGCAAGCCAATTGGCTATATTTCATCAGTTTGATAGAAAAATAGAGAAGACAGACATTTTCATTAAATACTTACGAGTTCCATCAAAGTGGTTTGCTATGCTTTCCAAAAATGTATTTTGTGGAGCAAGGAGGCCCTTCATCACTGGCATCTTCTTTCAGACTTCTGAGATTTTCAGCTTCCAGCAGTTTGTCACTTATCCTAGAAAATGACGAGAGAAAAGGGCTGCTTCTTGGTCCTTTGTTGGTGTATAAAGTTTCAAGTGTTTTCTTGTTCGAGAAATTAAAGAAGAGATTCTCAGATAAACCAGATTGCCTTTTCAGAAGGTGAGAATATTTGCAGTTCTCCAAAGGGTTTTTCTTTCTGTACTGAATCCGGATTTGTCAGGTTCAGCTGCACATTGCTCAGCGTAGTCTTGCAACAGCATCACAGCATATGCTCAAACGCTCTGTCAGTCTTAACTCCACAAAGCATGATTCCTGCCATCTCTGAGTCCCCTCCCACCATGAGAGCCTAACCCGTTTCTCCATCTCATTCAGAGTGCAGATCTCTTTCCTCTCTAAACAAGCTAGTCTCCTCCCAATTAATGTTCCCCAAAGAAATGTATAGAAATTAGCCTCATTCTACATCTCATCACATCTCCCTACCATTCACATCACTTCCTGTTACAAGCTTCTCATTAGGATATAAAAAGAGGCTTCTTAGAGCTTTTCCCCTAAGATCACCACTTGTGTAGTGTAAAACATTAGGCCAGAGCTGCATTTTGTGCTGGTTACTGTGGATACCATGAAACATAAAAAGCAATAACCAGACTACTCCTGTGTTGCCACACAAAACTTCTCCTACCATCTACCATCATTGATTATCTGCTTAAAGGATTTTGTGCTTAAGATCTCAATTATTTTCATACATACTCTCACACACAGACAGCCCCTCCCCACTACAATAACCTTTTTTCAGTGTCACAAGTACAGAGCAACGAAATTAACTCTCTGCATTTAACCCATGCCCTTGGGGAGCAGTGGGCTGCCATTGTGCAGCGCCTGGGGAGCAGTGGGCTGCCATTGTGCAGCGCCCGGGGAGCAGTGTGGGGGTTAAGGGTCTTGCTCACAGACCCAGAGTGGCAGTCTGTGGGTGTGCGGCTCAAACTCAGAACCACTTGTCATACATCCTGGAGAATTTGAGACATGTTAGAACAAGCATTTTTTAAATAAACTATACATGGAGGCAACATGTTGCCCATTGTTGTACCTAAACCCATCTAATAGTAAATCTAGTACTAAAATAGTAGTTAAAATAAGTGAAAATACTTTTGTAAAACCTGATAGACATACTCTGACAGAGAAAATCAATCCAACTTTAAATTTAGTGTATTAGTTTAATGTAAAATCCAAAATCTAATGTGCATTTGGTGGCACAGCTAACAATTGCCATGCTTCTTTTTCCTTTGCCCAAGTCACTTTGGCAAAATGTCCAGGAAGGAAACAGACACATCCCATTTTCCAACTTTTACTGGGAGATCCCAGGCATTACCCGGGTGCAACTTGGATATGGTTTCTCCAACCAGAATGTGTCTGACCTCCTAGCAAGTTTGGTTGTCCTCCATGAGAAGAGACAGGTTATTGAATTGGAAGTTTTGTGTTTGGCTCGGGTCTTTTTTCTGCACAAAAGACACAAAGTTCAGTTGTAAACACTTGAGGGAAGGACTAGGGTTCGCTTTTGGCTGCTGTATCCTGTGAAGGGACAGTTCTTCCAGGACTGGGTTGTTCGAAGGTGGTAAAATAAGGAGGCAGGAAGAGTTTGGCTATAGAGTCGAAACAGGTCCAACCTTCATCAACTTTTACTGCCCCTCACTCAGTCACCTAGCTACTGTGACAATTGATTCACAAAGCAGGTGAAGAATGGATGCTGAACTTCTCACTACTGTTCTGTGTGATAATTTCATTGTTGAGGAGCTTCAGCAGCAGCACCATCCTTGCAGATATCTGATTGTGGTCCCCACACTGTAGAGATATTGGAATTTGACCTTAAATGTCAGCCAAACCTATTTGCACAAGGACAGATAAAACCTTCCAATAAACAGAACATTATCCACAACATATTTGGCGCAATAACCATTCATTTAATTTTAGAAGAAATTGTTCATATACCTGTATCATATTAAACTGCCCTTACAATATTCATCACTGTTCATCACCATTTACTTTTTTCCTCTGAGCACGGAGCAGCCGGCTTGCTTGGACTCACAATGAATCAGAGGATACCCAAAGCCGTGAAGGATAAACCAAACCTGTCCTCTCAACCAAGTGAAAAGAAAGCTGCATTTCTTGGACGCAGAAGAAGGAGTCAATTAATCCAAACAGGCCAAAATGCCACGCTATGCTGTAATCAGCCAATGAATCTGGTCTTTGAAGGATTCAGCTGCCAGATGTGAACACAGCCAAAGAGCGATGGCTTTTAAATTAAGAGAAGGGAACGTTTTATACATACCTCATACAGCAAACAACTCTAATACACCTCGAAGGTTATGACCTATACAGAACCACATCATTCCCAAAAAAACACACATGAGAAAAACAGGATTTATGCTAAGTAGCACCCTTTACCTCAGCCTTACCTGTATTGAATGCACTGGACAAACCTCTTGCTTTGATAATACAAAAACCAAATTCCCCTTAAAAGCCATATTTTCACAGAGCGCCCCACAAAATACCACAAAGGTCGGGACTGAGTCTATTTTCTTATCCTGTATCTCAATAAAATACATAAAGACTAGATAATCCAGGTTTTGTGAGTTCTACTAATGACCCAGTTATTTGATCTTGAAGTTTGCTGAAGTAGACATATCTAAGAAGTGCAAAACATTGGACATAGGGGAACGAGATTGAGGAATATTGTTCTAGGAGGTTTAGGTCCTACATACTGTAAACAGTTACAGTCTGGTATGTCATTTTTATGAAATATACAGAATGTTCACATGCCCTTTTTTCATGGCTCGTCTCGTTTTTTTATGGTTTCTTTTTTATTGCCTTTTTGTTTCATTTGGTCTTAAATGTGCCAATGTTTTCTAGTTGATAATCTTTTAGTCTTTTACATGATCAACAAGAGACGCATAATATTATACACAAACAAAAGACGAGATTAAAAAGTTTCTGGTTTGCTGAGAATTGAGTTTATTGCAGGTAAATCAATGGTAAACATTAGTTTACTATCAGACTGTTTTTTTCTGGTGGCTCTTAAAGCACATGTTGACCATTTGTTCTTATTCACACTTTGTTCAAGAAACATACACTTATAATTACATCACAGACTAGTTTCTTAATAATTTTGACATTAATTTAAATCAAAAGGTTAAAAGTAAACAAATAGCTTGTCTACTTGTTTTTTTTTTTTATTTAGGTTACTTGCTGTAGATATAATCTTTCTATAAACATAGTTCATTTAGGTAAAGGTGTCACAGTAATTTTTTTTCTGACAGAACCAATTAGTCTGTTATTGCTCCCTATCTCTCTCTGCAGTCCTTCTTCCCATAGTCAGTATCCCAGCTGCTTGGTTGTTGTGGCCATGAAGAAGCTGATGGAGTCGGCTTTGCAAAGGAAACTCTTCCTCGTTCCGTTTACCCAGGGTAAGAATCCCAGCTGCTGCATCTCCATTGATGGCTCCTCCCATGCTCTTGTTGCCAGAACGACACAGCAGCACCTGGAGGCGACAGGAGCGAGCAGGTTGTCTGCAGCACTCAGACACACTCTGCGCGTTGCATCCCAGCTGAGACAGCAGCAGTATCAACATGAACAGCAGGACTTTCTGTTTGAAGAAGAAATTAGATTTAGAATACATTTGTTTAGAAAAATCAAGCATTAAAAGGACTCACATGAGTGAAAACAAGAGCTTGCAGAAAGGTTTCTACATTGAATGTGTGATAACTGGCACTGGAGGAATATACATGCAAATACACGGAATGACTTTTAACATTTTATGATTATGCTATTGGTTTTATTCATAAGTGTTTTAAAGCGATGTTTAGATTAAAATTTTGATTTTACCCTTCTATGATGATTTTACCTGTAGCACTTTGAGATTTTTTTCTTAAATGTAAAGTGCATTACAAATAAAATGTATTATTATCATTATTATTAAAATTTATTTAATTATATTGACTGTGTTTTCTATGCTAAATTGAATGCCCAACCAACAGGAGTGTGCATCCAATTTCCTTCAGTGTCACATTGTATAGAAATTGTAAAAGAATATTGCAGTTCTCCCACAGCTTGCTAATGTTGCTTCATGGTTTGTAGTGTCTGGTTGTGCTAGGTTAGTAAAGTGCAATACCACAGTTATTTGTAAAGAAATTTGGACTGCATTTCATCATGGCAGGCTAAAAATCTAGATCACTTAGATTTGTCCAACTTGCTCAGTGGCGTAGTGGGTAGCTCTGCTGCTTTGCAACTAGAAGGTTCTAGGGTCGAATCCCAGCCTGGGGTCTTTCTACAAGGGGTTTGCATGTTCTCTCTGAGGATGTGTGGGTTCTCTCTGGGTACTTCGGCTTTGGGTCCAAAAAATTACTGTTAGGTTAATTGGCTTCTCTAAAAAAAATCCTTAGGTGTGTGTGTGTGAGTGAATGGTTGTTTGTCTCTGTGATGGACTGGCAACCTGTCCAGGGTGTACCCCGCCTCTTGCCTGTAGACAGCTGGAGATAGATGCCAGCAACCCTCACGACCCAAGCAGGGATAAGCATGACAGAAAATGGATGGATGAATCATATTGTTGGATTCTGCAAAGATTTACCTCAGTCACTCATGTAGCCACATAAAAATTATAATAAAAAGCCCCTAAACTTATGTTTAACCACAACCAATGATTCAGCAGAGCTGCATTGTGCTGCACTCTCAGTATTTGGTGCAGATTCATTTTTAATGACACAGTTTCTCATATGATAAGTAATTTTAAATGTCCATGTTGGTGAAAACGTAAATTTTTATTGGAAATTCAAAACCCAAGCTAACTGGACATGTAAATTATATAAAAGCACAAAAACATAATTTCTTTCTTTTTTTTTTTACAATTAAACTTTAAATGCTTAAACACTAAAGTTTATTCAAACAAATGAAAAATAATAATCGTCCTTTTTTGCATACATTCAAGCCCATATATAATTTTTTGACAGATAATTGATATTTGTGTTCCACTCTATCTTCTGGGCTTCCTCAGAAGAGAGTAGCTCCTTTACGGGTGTTACAAAATCAGCATGCTGATAAATAATGGGCTAAATTATGTGCGTTGCAGAATAGATTTTAAGTTTTTTTTTTACTGTTGTTAACAGTCTTAGTCTGGCAGTTTGCATTAATTTAATGAAATGTCCAGAACTTACCACTTCTTTGGGTAAAATATTATTTTATTCATTTGAATCTTTGTTTAATCTTTCGTTACCTTTAGTTTTGTTTGTTTTAAGATCCTATTATAAATTCTACTGTTACTTCTTGATTTCATCATAACTGTAAACTGGCTTTAAAACATCACATTACAAGTAATACATTTGTCTAACAGAGATTTAATGAGAAAAAAAACAACATTTTTCACTTGTATAACAAATGGCTTCACTGCATCAATAAAAACCTTTTGCAGTCGTGGACCACTGGTTATGATATTACAATATATTGCCATTACTATGAAAAAAAAAAAAAAAAAAAAATATATATATATATATATATATATATATAAATGTATCACAAATTAAAAACAATGCTTTATTGTGTTTATCAAATACTATTTCTTCTGTGCTCCTCATGATGCCAAGACTGAATCCTTTGAATTATTACAACAAATTATTACAACATAATATAAAAAACTTTATACAAAAGAATAGAACAATAGAAGATCCTAAAAGCTCTTACCCTGTGAGATGTATCCATCTCCACATTGTTCTGGAAGTTGGTGGCGTACCATGTCATCTTAACTGAGGCGGGATGATCAGATCTCTTGATTTCCCACCGGAGGAAAACTCTTTTATATTGCTCTACTCGGTCCACATCATCAGTCCTTTGGGCGTCATTCAGACCAGCTACAAACAGGCAAAACCCCAAACTAATTTTTTTCTGTTTCATGCCCATTTACTGTCAAGCTCGTGACTGTTAATTAGACTCCTGTGAGAGATCATCTCCACGGAGATTTGCCAAACTACAGGTATGTCTTCGTGGCTGCTAACGCTAGGTTTATTAACACATACCATCACTATGAATATGGGCAGACTATAACAAACATGTCCCAGAAAGTTAAAAATATAATTACAATACATAAAAGCTAACAAAATGTTTAAAGGGCATGCTAATGAGCATGGCTCTATTTATATAACTTTTCACACTAAAGGTCTGTAGTGACTCATCAACAAAAGCCTGGAACTTTCCTTGTTACTGAGAGCATCCTCTTAAATTTGCACATCTATAAAAAACATTTAAAAGTTCAGGTGAGGTTAGCTAAGGATCTTTATAAGTGAGAACTAAATGGCTTTATATAGCTAATGAATAAAGAAAGAGAATTTTATGTCAACTTTTGTGCAACAACCCGAAAGCCATCACAAATCTTTGCATCCATTTTAACATCCATTTAGCTAATGTTTATTGCCATCTTATGGAGAGCAGGAAGCATTTCTTTAAAAACATCAAACCTTAAATCGAAGAATAAAAGGCCAAAATCGATCAGAATTAATTCTAGATCAGCAGTATTCACTTGAATAACAGCAAAAGAAAATATCAATAAGGAAGCTTGTTGATCAATTTAGTCTGAATACAAAGATTCATTGTTTGTTTTACTGGATCACCACTAGGTTACTATGTAAACCCTTGTAATCTTATTCACTATCAGATTGTTGTTCACTTTTAAGTGCAAAAATAAAAACTCAAGCAAAATCTTACATTTATTTTTCTTGTGTTTTTTTTTACAGACTCCTTAAAGAAATATAAAGCTACTGAAAAGATGATTTCTTTCTGTAACTTAGTTTACCAAGTTAAACTCGTCATACTTTTCAATTGAACAGAATTTTGCAGAATGTTTTCAAGCCCTTATTTCTGTTATTTATGATGATTTTCAACTTGCACACAATTAAAACATAACATTTAGGATTGGACAACAATGGAAGACAGATAAGAAAAACATTAAACCCACATTAATGAAAACATGTTTCATACATGTGTAATTTTATTCTTTAAATGTACTTTAAATCTGACAAATGAGCCTCAACTCAAAGCATTTTCCACTTTACTGAATACCATGGAATGTTTTTATTTAACTGACGCTCACTTTATAAATCATCTAAATGTTTTACTGAGTTGAAATGTTAGATGTCTGCATAAAATATTTTTGCAATACTTTTAAACCTACTCTCATTTCCCTCACTAAGCTATTCAACAATGGTATCCTGTATATTAAAGTAAAGTCCTAATAGATTATTTAGAAAAATCAGAAAGGTTAAAGAAATATATATTTTTTTGCTTTTGTTTGCATTTCACATAAATAAAAAAATGATAAATCAAAATGATTTTAAACCATTCTCAAAGATGTGCGGAAAAATGCTGCTGATCAGCATTTTGCATGTTTGACAAACATGTTTTGGTGATAGGATACACTATTTGAAAGGGTCATCAGAAATGGTCAGAAATGATAGAAACAAAAATGCAATGAGTAATAAGACAAAAGTGGAGGACCATTTCAGTGCATGAACTTGGAAACATGTGACACCCATGTCTGCCTGTGGAGCTCATGAAAGTGTCCTTTTGTATCTCTGCTTCTTTTTCTATGTCTGCTTCTGTCTCCTTGAACCCGAGTCGGCCTCAGCAGATGGCCGCTCACACTGAGCCTGGTTCTGCTTGAAGTTCCTTCCTGTTAAAAGGGAGTATTTCCTCTCCTCTGTCGCTACAAGCATGCTTAGTGTGAGGGATTGCCTTCAAGTCAATGATTAGATGCAATCAGCTGGTTTTCCTTGGATAAAAAACTTTAAATCAATTTTACTGTATTATCCTGTTAAATTGTATCTGTAAACTGCCTTGAGATGACATGAATTGGCGCTATATAAATAAACAGAATTGAATTGAATATTTTTCTCTTATATATATATATATATATATATATATATATATATATATATATATATATATATAGAATAGAAGTGGTTCCACAATGGGAACTCTCCTTCAACTCTGGCACGGTAGAATTGCTGATTCTACAGCGTGAACCAATGCATGATCTACAGCCCAATCCTGAAGAGCTACTGTTCTGCAACGTGTAGATGTGCATCTCTTCTCTAACACACCTGAATCTAAAGGCTCAATCTCCTCAGAGGCATGTTAATGAGCCACTCATTTAATATTGGTGTGTTAAAAATGGAGTGCATCAAAGAGTTGCAGGATAATAGCTATTCCACAATACGCAAAAACCGCACTGTGGAAGAAAGTTGCCATTATACCGTTGGTTTTTAGGCTAAATCTGGTTGGTCCATCAAAGTCTTGATTAAGTCCAGAAATTGATGTTGAAAATTGGGCTGTTTGGTCGGTCTGATTTTGTCCCAAATTTGTGTAATTATTGAAAAGTGGGTTTCAATGTCTTGTTGTTTTCAACATTGTTTGGATGTAAATCATATTATCTTTTTAATGTCTTTTCAACCAATTTTTGCTCGGTGGGGGGTTTTTGTGTTTGGATAATTTACCGGCATTCCACATGATGACAGTGCACGAAGTTTTCAACAGGCTGAAAAGCATGAAAATCCTCACCTCAGCATCACTGAGCTACTTTGGATATCTCAAATATATGAACAATATGAAGTTTGCCCCACAGGGAGTTACAGGATAGAGAAGCAGACATACATGCTGGTCCATAAAGCGTAATTTTGGACATTGGGACTGATCTATCATGCTGATAAGAACCATGATCACTGGTGTAGGTGGATGCAGTTTTGCTGTGTTGTTGGACTTACCTCTGCAATTGCTGCAAATTCCTGTTTGTCCAAGATACTCCCACAGGAACATGTGACCCCCCCGCAGTGCTTAAGAAAAAGCAATAAAATCAAATAAACACTGTCTTTTCTCCCAAGAAACTCTCCTGAGGATTCCATTTGTAAAGGAATACCACTAGCCAAGGACCAGAATCCAAAGACCGATTAAAAGCCTGGACCTGGTTTCTAACTTCTGAACAAAATGCATAAACGGAATGCCAGACTGGAAGTGTGGAGAATCTGGAAAAAAGATCAGCGTCCCTGCAATGGATCTGACATGCTAATCTGCTGAATACAGGAGACAACTCAGCCTTTTCCAGAGATCATCAGAAATCACAGGTCTGGCAAAGTCAGGGGAAGAGTTCCCAGCTTAATTATTTGTGTTTTTGAGGATTTTTTATCATTCCACATGTTTATTGTTGGCTAAAACCAGTTTTATTTCACCAAGGGTTGAAACACCAATATAACATTAACATATATGTGTTTCCTCATATCCTCATCCCTACTGATTATCATATGAGAAAGAATTTTAAGATGACATGTCTATTCACTATTAATTCAATCACAGAAGGTGACTGAATCTATTAACTAAAGTTTGTAGATTTTTCATTTATTAAATCTTTAATAAAATATAATTTTTCCAAACCTGCTTTAATTACCTCTTGAATTTAAAAAAAAAACTAATGTGCATCTGTCTAAACTTAAAACTTTAAAGTAGACTGTCTTAAAAAAAGACAGGGTGTCTGCAGGGTTAGAGGAGCCTGATAACTAAAAGATCTGCCTCCCATTCTACTTTTAGAAATTCTAGGAAACACTAGTAAACCTGCAGATCGAGAACAAGTGCTCTGTTAGGAACATAAGGAACAATCATATCTCTGATATAAGATGGAAATTGGTCATTGGTCATGAGGAGGATTTTAAATTCTATCCTGCATTTAACAGACAGTCAGTGAAGGGAAACTACAACAGGAGAAATGTGATCTCTTTTTAAATTTCATATCACCACTGGCTGCAGCATTTTTGATCAGTTGAAGGCTTTTAACCACAGTTTGTGGACTTCCTGATAGTAAAGAATTACAATAGTCCTGCCTTGAAGTAACAAATGCATGAACTAGTTTCTCAGCATCACCTCTGAGGGAGATCATTTAAATTTTTGCAATATTTCGGAGATGAAAGAATGAAACTCTAAAAACCCGATTCATATGGGATTTAGATGACAACTCCGTTTTTTTTTTTTTTTAACAATATAATGTTAGACCAATTTAATACCATGCTCTTGATGAAAGTAATTAAAAAGTTAAATGTCATATCCTAAACTGGGTATGGAACCACAGACTTTCATACTTCAAAAGTATTACCAACCGTACCACCGTGCAGCAAACTGAAGGATTGAAAATAGCTATTCAAATTGGGGAAGGATTAATTGCAGTGTGAAGTTTTGGAGTCCTTGAACTTGTGAAAGGACAAGTCAATTGCAGGCCGTTTACCAACAAGTACAAATCAATACTCTCTTTTTTTCACTTTAAAGGTATACTATGCAACCGGTGTTGAGTTTCCAGCGAGGCTCCCCCCAGAGGGCGAAAGTAAAAGTGCACTGTCGTAAATATGCACAGCTGTTCTCCTGGTTTCTCCGTCAAGCCAGGCGCGGTTGTTTTGAGCTTAGCAGACAGGCGAACGCAACGCATGACTAACACAGAGAAAGTATGAACATGCACACAGAGAGAGAGAAACCATTCCAATGTTACTTACAATCGCATCAGCAGAAACGCGAGGTCCGCCTCAGCCTTGCAGCCTTCTTTTTATTTTAGCTCTCGCCATTCGGAAAAAGCTTGCCCGATATTCACCCGTGTACGACTCCTCTCTCTGTCCGGAGCCCTTTTCCTCTTTCTTGCCTGCTCCGACATGGGCTTTCGCTGTTTTCACGCTGGTTCCGCCATGATAACTGCACAAAGATCGCCACTGCGCTAGCAACGAGCATGCTTTTAACTGGGGGCGTGTAGCAGTTCTCGCCGTAAAGCAAGACCGACTCTCGCGAGACTTCTGAGCCTGTGGGTGCGGGCCGAGGGCTCCTGCAATTGCAAGTGCGTTATTTCCCCCACAGACCACCAGGGCGGCCGAGAAAACCTTTGTTCAACCTGAAATGACTCATTTAATAATCCAAAACGTTATGGAACACATTAATTAACTGAAAAATGTTGCATAGTGTGCCTTTAAGATGAAACAATATTTTCTGTTCAACAATGGACACTTGATTCCATGCACTTTAGCCCTCTACCAAATCTCCTTTCTTTTGTGTCCTTATAATTGTCACTGGCTGTACTTAACTAACTTTTGGTTCCTATAATTTTCAGACGTGTGACAGTGTGACAGAATACTTGTCATGATGGGTTCACAAGTGAGACCCAGTTATGCAGAACACCACGGAGACGGAAACAGAAGTAAAAGGTTTAACAATGTTTATTGTTACAAGCACAGAGTTAACCACTGGTTCTGGTTCAGGCCTGGGGAACTGGTTCACTGGAGTCTGCGTGGGAGACAGTTCAGTTAGCGTTTGCTCAGAGGAGTTTGATTCAGACAGTTTCAGATTTGTACCTTGAGGGTTCTTGGTAAAAGCCTTGAGAGGGAAACTGTTGGGTCCGGAGATAGTTTGTTCAGCAGAGTCCGTTAGCTGCTTCAGCGTCTTACTTCTTGAGAGTGAGCTGACCTTGGCTTTGAGTTTCCAGCTCTTAGTCCAGAGCTGCATGGGAATCCAGAGAGAGACTTCAGGTTTGGCTCAGAGGGCAGGCTCGGCAGGTTAAGCTCTTCCTGAGCTTCACAGGAGAAAAACAGGTTTCCTGGAAAACAGAGACAAAGGTTAGAATCCAGTCTGGATTCAAAAGTCAACAAAGGTTCTCAGAGATACTAGGCTTAGGTGCTAACCAACTGGATCAACACTGCGGCGTTGAGGCAAGGTCTGAAGACAGCTTAAATACTGTGGATCCTCTGATGATGGAATGAGCTCCAGCTGTGCAGGAGGCTCGACTCAGGAGGATCCACGGCGGACTCTGCTGGAGGAAGGTGGTACTTCTCCAGCTCCCAACAATACTTCTTTAGTCCCTTTTTTACTCTAGACATGTAAAACTTGTGTAGACTGTGGTCAAACACCATTGCAAAAATATAATTGCTTTAATGTTAAAAATAGAATTGCGAAATATGAAAAAAAAAAAAGTTGTGCTTCTTTGTATATTTACCTTTTTAGTGTTATTTGTGTCTAATTACACAAAAATAAACATAAAGAGACAGAATAACCAATGAAGCCAGCTTTAATGGGCAACTCAATGGAGCTCTTACAATTTGCACACTCACTTTTTCAGTGAAACATCCGTCATGACATCATTTGAACCTTGCAGAGCTAACCGGTAACCCATCATTACAGTCCCAAATGCACTGGTTTTCTTGATCTGATCCACAGAACAACAGGTGTCAAAGCACTGTACATGTGGAGGTAATGTTAAAAAAAGACTCTGAATATCAATAAAACTTACAACAATAAGAATATCAATCATAAATGTCTCAGATTTTTAGCAATATATGTTCCTTTCATACATTTTACATAGAGTTTACATCTATAGTCACTGTTTTATTCCACATACAGCAGTACCATGGTTGTTTTGACTTTTCACTTCAAAAAGGGGAGGGTCAGATATTCCAGTTGTAACTGAGGGTTGAGCTCCAACACTGAAGGATGTGTTAGCTCCACCCTAGGGACCAAAACATCAACTTATATTACATCATACGCAGAGGCCCTGGGCGGGAGACAAGAAAATCCTATGGGAAGTGACCAGGAATGAGTGAACAACCCAATAGATCGGCATGGTTTGATGGAGGTTGACAGTACCTTAAAAAAATGCACAGATGAATGGATGAATGAACACTGAAAAAAAACATAATTTTTTTTAACCAACTCATTTTCTCCTTGGTTTGTGCTAAAAACGTCATTTGTGACTCCTACAGTGTCCAGACTAGCAGAGCGGCTTTAATCTGTGCATTTAAAATTAAAACTCCCCCCTCATTATAGACAGAAATGAAGGTTTGTGCTAAGCATTACATCTAAAATGGCAGTGTGATTATTACTAAATAAAGCTCGAACACATGGCAAAGTGTCTCTGAAATTAAACGAAAGGCATATTTTTGGCATAAAACATTGATATAAGGTAAAGCCTGCACCCACACAGCTAGTGGAATTGTGAATAAGCGTGTAACTAGCAATGCCCAGAGAGAGACAGGGACAGCTTTGTTTTTGATCCTCCTACGGTAGACATTCCTAACCCGAAACACAAGCCTGAAATCTTCACCATTTTTCAGTCCTTGTGAGATAAAAGGCGGAAAAGATTGTAGATTTCTTGCTGAAATGGATACTGCTCCAAACTGACAGAAAAACAGACATCCTGATTGGAAATGTATGAAATCTGTCTCCTTCTATTTTCTCAGACTTGTGTTTCGCTTCGAATACGGCGACTCCTTTTTACTGTCATCACTTCTTTATATCTCTCTGTAACAACCTCTACCTCTCCTTCCTTGTTAGGCTGCTGTTTACCTTCAGCATCCTTCTGCTTCTCTATTTCTCTGTCTCTCTTTGGGTGGGATTCGCTGTGGGCACAGGCTGCT